AAACTGTAGCAACATCCTGCCCACTTTTACACCTTGTGCTTGATATGCTATTACAACCATAAGGATTTTCCAGGAAGAAGGGCAAACTCCAAGATTTCTGTGTGGGTCAGAAGATGTATGAGAGGAATCAAGTGCTGCTATTGGCAAAAAAACTATATCATAGTGGAGTTACAGATGCTTCGTTCAGTCTCATAGAAGGGGCAATCTGCATCTGTAGAACAATGATGGCAGTATTTCAGACTGTGAAGATCCTGGTCAAACTTGGTACATATTTTGTCTGAAAAGATCCACTTGTTCAAGAGAATCTTAGCAAAATATTTTTTTTCTACTATCATATTGATTCTTAGTTACAATAATCATTTCTATTGTTACTTGCTTATGTTGATGATCTGTTCTGGGATTAGTGTCTCATCCTACTAAACTGAGCAGAAATGTATTAATTGATTTAGAGGGGAGAAGAATTCTGCCTTTTTTTTCCTGCAGTTATACCTCTCAGCATTATTTAAATAACTATTTTAGCTAATTTTCCTACAGAAATGATGCTTGTGGTAGCCTTGGTTTTATAGCCACCATTTTCATCTTCTTTCATCTCCTTTGAATATCCTTTGGACTCACTGGACAATTTCAGTCTAATTTCATGGAGCCATTGGGTTTCAAAGGATATGAAAGAGTTTCCATGACTTTCTTCCCATGACTTTAAGCAAAAAAAAAAAAAAAAAAGGGAATAGAGGTGAGTGCCAGTTGATTCCTCCAATCTGTTGAATTGATTTAATTCTTGCTAGACCTCAGAGAATCCACACCTCTCAACCCAGCTGGTGAGATGCCCAAGCTTTGCTGATTTCTCTGTTCCTAGAATGACATGTCTCAGATGCTGGAAAATTCAATTCATTGTTTCACACCTTTGTGTYTCACTCATATTTGCCTCAAATGAGCAACAGAATGAAGAGGAAGCACTATTCCATTCTTAGTGCATTTTTAGTGATAAGACCATCAAATCTTTTTTTCTTTTTTCCCTCTGTTGCAATTGATTTATATTGTCATTTAGTATTTTATTGGTTTCTGTTCAGCAGAAATCATTAGCAGACACAGTTGATAGTCCCTGGTCCTAGGAAGCTTGTTAAGCATGTCTGGGAGATTTTTGCTAAGCTTGAGTCTGCAAATTAATGCTTCATTGAAATAGTGGTGAAACTAAATCAAATTAATAAAAGCACTGTTTAAGGTGTGCTCATTATTGCACATGAAGTCACTTATAATCCTTCAGTAATAACATGCAGAGATTTAAGAATATACTTAAGCATTTTGCTCCTAACATTCCTCTGCCCGAAACAGTATGGGGCCAATTCAGGAAGATGCTYTAGCATGACACGGTGTCAGCTATGATCATATGATATCACCCACAAGAAGTGGGTTCCACCACACCGCCCAAGATAAGCAGCTCACACTAGGCCAAATGCTCAAAATCCAGTTTGCTGCAGCGGGGAACGATCAACTATTTGTCATGTTTCCTACACAAGACTTCCTGTAAGTCACTGTTCTTTCTCACTATCAAAGATCTTTTAGATGAGGTATAAAATTGGAGTCGTATCAGTTGGAGTTCTCACAAGTGCTGCCGCTGCTCTTTGTCAAAAGCCAAGGGATTGCCTTGCTGTCACTGCCGGCCCTGAGGCCTTGTCAGCGTGGCCCTTCCTCGGCCTCCTCCTCTCTTGCAGCATTGATACATGCTCAAAACAAGTTGTTTGGGCAGCGTAGAGAAAAAAAAAAAAAAAAGAGAAGAAAAACAGAAACTAGCTTTGAAACCAGGCGAAGTTTCTGTGTGCATCAATGGATGGCTGTGGTTTGAGGGGTGTCTGCACTGGAGCCCTGCCTGTAGCCTCCTCTGTGCCTTTGCTGCTCCTGGCTCTGTGCAAGAGCCTGGTAGGAGTTAGGTGGTCTTAGTTATTTATTTATTTCCAGTAGCCTAGCTTCGGCAGTCAGTTGAAATTTTAAATTCACAAGTCATTGTTGTATCTAGAAAAAAAAATTGAAAACGTAAAGTAACATGCCCCAAATTCTCAAAAACAAGAGGGTAAGTAAACAGAACCCCACCCATTTCATTCCTGCATTTTTACTGAGGTGTTTGTCAGGCAATCGAAAGATCTGTCTCTTTTTCTTCATGATTTTTTGAACATTCAAAGCTGGATAACAGCAGCAGACTTGATTCTTCCGTACGTWTCTATGTATCTTGGAGAAGGTCTGTCTTTTCTCGGGCTCTCTGCTAGGAGACAGCCACAGCCCTTCCTACCTTCATCCCGAGCCCTCGTGCTGCGCCTAGGTATTTGCTCATGCTGCTGCCCTACTGAGCATTCACAGGGCAAGAGCATTAAAATAGCAGTGCCGGATAGTAGCAGAAATGTGGCCAGACCTGTTTCCTCTTGGTAGATGGAGCCTTGCAAAATAGTCATAGCTTCAGGAAGAAATTGCATAAGCCACTCAGGAGGGTTTCTCAAATAAATGTCTCTGTTGAAGAGAGGCACTTGTCGTGAACTCCTTGGCTTTTGTCTTGTTAATCCCTTCGCTTTTGTGCCCTTTGACTTATTTTATCTTTCTTGATCAATTGGTTTGTTAGAGACTTGCTAGAGTGTATCCTTCTGATTACTCCATATTTGTCTTGTTAATAGCCTGGGTGTTTTACATCTATGCTGCCAAAGACAAAGGGAATTAGATCTAAATCTAAGGCCGAGAAAAGTTTTACTTCCTTCTTTGGTCTTAGAGGCAGGGTTTTTTTCCATACTAGGCTTTAAAATCTGAGCAAATACCTTTGCTTTTTATCTCAAAAGTGTTCAGAATTCAAAGCTATACTGGAAATGCTATGATTTTCAATATATAGGTTATAGATACCTCAGCATTGGGACATTGGGACAGCTTTCAAAAGTTCTCTCTCTTTTTTTTTTTTTTTTTTTTTTTTTTTTTTTTGGCCTCTGACACTTCTACAAATCTCAATGATTTTTTTCTGGAGGGGAAAAAAAAAGGCTCATTATGAAATAATTGCCCCGGTAGAGTTTGAGGAATTTACCATACTATTATTTTAGTTTTAGAAAAGAAATAAAGATTTTCAAAAATATATTTTATATGAAAAATGGAAAGCAATGTATATTGTATTTGTTCTGAGTTAGTCGAGAGCTTATTTGCATTTTTCTTGCACATAAGTATAGTTCTGAATTTGAATTTCACTTCTGTAACTATTYGTTTTTGCTGTAGTGACTATTCTTGCAGCAAACTCATTGAATGAGTGTGTGAAAATACTATGGGAGGACATGGAGAATTGGAAGCAAATAGATAGTTAAATAGCAATAGATAGTTAAAATGTAATGCTTTTCAAAATTCATATGGGATTTCACTCTTACTTTGCAGTATTTACCAGATAACTAGGAAAAAATGTAGTGTCCTAAACTGTACCGTATACTCTATGCAGYTGGAAATACATGGATATAATACATTTTATGTATGTACAAAATAAATGTTAAAAATAGCTCAAGTGCAAACAACATAGTCATATATATGTGTGTGTTTTCAAGTCCTTTCCTTTTAATGAAATTGTGTAGAAACAAAACATGTTTAGTACTTTTTTGCTAGTACTTGAAAAATACCTGATTTGCAAGTAGCAGAGAGGACTTACATTTTTAAACACATTTTCTTTTTGCTGCAACGAGTAACATTACTGTTTTATAGTTATGACAAAGAAAACTGTTTTAGTGCCTCAGTGGAGATTATGAAGTATGTCAGTGTGCATATGTTAGTATGCATATTTAATAGGAAAATTTAYACTGGAAGAAGACATATGTCCCAAAGGACTACATGAATGTGCTTATTTCATGATGTATCACTTTATGATTTTATCATTTTACTCTACAGGTCAAGTAGCTAATATATTTCTGATATTGCCTTAATCTTAGCCATGTGTAGGGTTGACACACACAAAGACAGTTTTTACAGGGGCAGTGCACTTTARTTCAGTGCCTGTCGAGTAACTATTAGCTTTCATGAAACAAAGAGAAAAGACAGAGAGCCAAAAAAGTATAAGGAAGAACATTTGTTCCAATTCTGTAAACCTGTACATGCCTGAAATACACTGCTGATGTGGAATACAAGAGCACTGCAGAGCCCGGCGGGGTGGGATGCCACCCGAAGGTGGCACGTTTGCCCCTGCTGACTTGAGTTTTTCATGTGGGAGTAGTTGCAGCTAATTGATGTCAAAATGAGTTGACCTTCCCAGTTCTGTCACTAGTTTATATGTTTTACCCCAAGAAAACATGTGCCATTGCACCTTGATGAGCTGAGTTAGATGAAAGACCAGTGTGCCTTACACTTCTCTGGCAAGATCCTGATGTCCTTAAAATTAATAGGAACTCAGAGATTATTTCTTTGGAGCCAGAATTTCACACTTTGCCATGATTGTTCTGGGTCACATTCAGCTGCATTGGGAAATTGGATTTGYCAATGTTGAGCTCAAGGATTTTGGACTGAGATCACTGTGAGGTATCCATCTAACGTCCAAGCCAAGCATAGCCAGCTGTGGAGAGAGATCATTTAGAGTGAAACAGTAGACTGTATTGTGGGGAAATCAATTCTCCCTGTGCCTCTCAAAAGAGATACCATTCTATCAAGCATAATAGGAAACAGCCATGCCGCCTACTATGCCAAATCCTTTTTTTAAACTATCCTTAATCTCAGCTTCCTGCTTTATCATCATACTGCTCTCCCTTCACCTGTCAGAGACCAGCGAGTCTCTGCAAACTCATTTACAGTACTTGCTTCTGTGGCCTCCCCCGAACTCATTTCTGGTACTTGCTCCTGTAGCTTCTCTCATACATCTGTATTCTTTGTGTGAAGTAGCTCCTCTTTTATTTCAATCATTTCAGAAAATTCTGCCTATCTGCGGGGAGGAGGGTGGGAGGAGGTAGYACAGCTTTTGTTTTAAAATGCTCTTTTGCCATTCACCTTATTTGTACTTCTCTTCTCAGAAAACCAAAAGGGATGTAAATAACTTTGATCAAGACTTTACGCGAGAAGAACCAGTATTAACGCTAGTGGACGAGACAATTATAAAACAAATCAATCAAGAGGAATTTAAAGGGTTCTCTTATTTTGGAGAAGATCTACTGCCATAGACAACATTAGGCTGACAGAGGAATGATGCTGCAAGAAATGATTCTGAAGAGATCGTCAAATTACTGAGACTCAGTAGATCAAGAACTACTTCTCTTACCCTGAGCCCATATCCCCAATTAAACTATATATTTATTGTTTTTTTTTCTTTAATCTTCTGACCTGAAAGCACTCTTAATTTCTGTCTCACAAAGCAATGCAAATGCAAAACATTTTTGTATCAGAAATTGTAGATGTAACACACTGCCATATATTTGCAACTTTTCTTTTGTTCCTAAGATCTCACCAGAGGACAAAATTGCATCCTTTGCATGGAAAATGGAACCTTGCTATTAAAAGTGATTTGGCACATCATGTTATTTAACTGTCCTACATACTTAAACTAAGAAGGTGAGAACGATTTTGCTCGCACTGGTGATTACGGTGAGATCTGTACTCAGATATGGAATATATAAGTAATATATTGCCTTCTGGTAAGTGAAGAAGTCTACCTTCTTGGAGGTGGGATTATTGATTGAGAATGTTTTATTGAGTGGAGATTCAAACATGAAATATAATGGCCAAAAAAAAAGCACAGCTAATTAAGGCCTTTGATAAAATTCCTTTTAAAATTCATGAAAAAGTTTTTATGGCATAAATCTCACAGATTTAACTGAAATTTTATTTGCAGTAGGAAATCAGATCCCGTATGGATAGCTATTAAAGGGCTAAAGAATAAAAAGCCTATAGTACTTTAGCACAGCTATAGGTAGGCATTTTACCGTTTTTCAGGCAACTGAGTGTACTATCCATGCTACAATTTTAATATCCATTCAAACAAACCATTAATGTGATGGCAATGTTGCAAATGTTTACAATTAATTTTTTATAAAATTAATTATAAACATTTTGTAGATCTGCCTTGTAACTAAGTTGATAGTTTCTTATTTATATTTATTTTTCTCAGCAGTGTGTTACTTTTGCACACTTTTACAAAACCATAATACTACTGTGTTYGTTGTTTTTTATGTTTAAAATCTAATGAGAAATCTGCTTTTAGAAGACACAAAATAAGGCTTACACATGCATTATGTGGAAATGCGTTAAAAAACTGAAGATCAAACATTCACAAACTGACATTATTGAAAGCTGTAAATCGATTTTCTTGTGTATTAATTGAAACGGTAACTCATGTGGACAATATTACTAATGTGAAGTTACCTCCTGTAGATACGCTAACAGTGTTATGTACTTATATTTCCAGGAGTACCCTGTGGTTTTTTTGTGTACCTGTATCGCTGAGGTCATTTTATTATGTATTTTACTGGACTGAGTGAGCGGTCATTGGAATCCATTCTAATTGTTGTACATGGATTTCCAGCTGCACAAAAATATATATACTTGTGATTGGCAAAGTGGCACTAAAGAAGCTTTTTTGCCTTTTGTACAGGTGAGATTTTGTACATAGTGTTTGCTGCAAGGCCTGTGGAATTCATTGAATATAGAGGTATCAACTGCTGCATGTTCAGGCATACTATTAAAATGTTAGTCTATGAAAGAATAATTATAATAATGTCCATGTGCAATACTCTTGTATGTGTATTGGTTCAAGTTACTGTCAGAGAGATGAGGTTTTTGTTATAAAAAGATGTAGACATATATTAAGCTATACTAAATCTCTTGTATAGTTCTCTTCGACTCTATTATGCTATGATAGAGGTGGGAAAGAGAGAGGAATGTTCCARGTTGTGGTGGACAAAGTGCGAGCCCTTGGCTTTAGGCGAAAATCTTGGTCTCAAGCAGATGAGTTAGTTTGTGTCAGTTTTTGTGTCTGGCTGCTCCTAGCCTTCGTTACTGATGACAACATTCAGTTCCATTTTGTTTTGTTTTTAAAACTCAGGTGTAATTATTATATATATTCTTATGATTATTTCAAAATATTAAATATTATGATATATCAATTAATGTGTTGTCTGGCCTACAGGTGTGATAATGGATCAAGCCTTTAGTTTAATTTAATTTATCTTCAGTAATCTTTTGTACTGGGAAAGACTAGCTTCTGGGGCTGAGTACCAGCACMGAAACATCTTAATGATTGCATCATCTCAGCATTTAAATTTCTTTCTCTTTTAGAAGTATATTGTAGAACTGCCCATCAGTTTGTGTGTCACTACTGGCTCTGTTCATTTCTCATCACAGTTTAGCTTTTGCCACCCAGGCAAGGACTGATCACAAAGCTAAAGCCTCTTTTCCGTAGGTGAGTAGACCGGCTAGGAAGACGAGTGGTTGGATAGTGCGCTGCTCTTTGCTTATCTCGAGGCCTTTGTATGAAAACTGGGAGCATTTATTCTGAAGGAATAAAAGCATCCCGTTAAGCTTCTCTAAGYGAGCTCTCTAGTCTATGTTCCCATTTGTAAGATGAAGCTAATCGGTGAATTTGTGTCTCAAGCGGCCTCGGCACCTGCGTTGTTTGCTGGGATGCTAAAGGAAAAGTCAAGGAGATAAAAACTTTTGCATGGGCAGATATTTCTTCAATATAAATAGTTAGCTCCTCCACATTGGGTTTACATCAGAAGGTTTGTCTGTTACCTTGAGCATTTTTTAAAGATAACTCTTAAAAATGGACATTCTGTTACATTTCTGCCTGTTCTGTAAAATCTTTCTCGTTCCTGCTTTGTAAAATGAGTGCAAAATGCCAAAAAGATTATTATTAATAATAATTATTATTCTAAAATCTCCATTGTTTCTTGTTTTTTCCTCCCAAATAGACTTTATAAAAAAAAAAAAAAAAAAAAACAGAAACCTGTTTTTCTCCATAGACTGAAAAATAATCTCTCCAAAAAAGGCTTACAAATTACCTCTTTTTAAATTATGTGCAGAATAGCTCTGTCTAAATATAAAATGTATTCAGTTGGGGGGGTAGGGTTTTTTTTTTTTATTGTGAGGATTTATTTGTACAGAATTTTTTTTCTTATGGATGTAATTTGAATCTCTTGCCATTCATTAGTGTTATTTCATCGTAAACATTATTACTGTGCCAAATGTACTGTATTCAAAAGGATGTGAATGTGTATTGTTTCAGAACCTAATAAATACAATGATGTTAAATCTTAATTTTCCCCCAAAGTTTTCATGCATATTTCATAATGAGGAAGAAACAAACTTTAAGGATGAATATTATCCCTATTGCATGTCATAGAAAATACCATGAACTTGTCTTTTAGGAGTGGACATTTTGCAAAGGAACGATTTGCTCATCTTGGGAAGCACTAAACACCTGAAGAGAAACCAGGTAACAGTGACTGAACTCCAGTTAACTCTGGCAATATAACATTTACCTCCAGTATGCCAAACAGGTGAGTTTTTATTTACCCAYTACATGAGGTTTACTGAGTCCCCGAATTGGGACTGAGCCTAGCATCCTGCTTAGTTGCATTTTTAAAACTTACTTCAGTAGGGCACTTCCTATATGAATATTTGAGACTGTTTTAGGCTTGGATTACATATTACATTTAGGCTTGGGTTAATATCATGCATAAATTCAATTAATTTCAGTGGTGTCATGAACTATTAAATTTTTTAACTTAATCTTTCAGTGTGACATACTGTGAAATATTTCAAAGTGGAGAAGATATAGAAGGTCATGTTTCAGTTTGARCTTTACACCCTTTCATTTATCATGGTCCACGATTCTTAAGATCTGTTTTAGTAGATCAGCTGTCAAGATACTGGCAGTGATTCTAGCATAAAACTACTAGATACTATATAGCTTAAAAAATGCATTCTTTAAATTGCAAAGAAGAGTGTTTTCTTTTACTGACTGCAGCTTTTRCATAATCCTCCATGTTTTTCTTTCACATAAGTCTTCTCAAATTCACTCRGTACCTATGAGCAGATACCAAAATCTACATTGAGAGCATTAGCATAAATGTAGCCAYACAGATTTTGCTAGTTTACTACATAACACCTTGATTTTTCTGCGTACGTTTGACAGAATTTATAGCATGCAAAGAACTTAACTGTCATCCTGCAAATAATAAATATAATTGGTCTCCAAATGCTTTCATTCATACCATGTTTTCTCTTRCTGCTGTACTAATGTCTCACAGGTTTCCAAAATGTATGTGATGCATGTTGAGAAGAGTTTTTCTCCATGAAGGTGAACTGTAAGACTTGGAGAGACAGGAATGAGTCTCAGTTCAATTCACTGCAAGTTCAGAGAGAATATTTGTATGTATCCCTCTGCTTCTGCAGCCTGCCAGCGTATCATATTAGATCACCTCACATCAAAAATATCTTCWGCCTACTAATAGTCTGGTCAGGTACAAGAGTAATTAACCATTTGAATAAACTGGTGCATATCAGAATAAGTGTTAAATGGGGAATGTTTTTGTTAAAGACCCTTTACTCATATTAGTCCCTCCAGGGTCCCTGCAGTGTGGATGCATAGGGGCTGAGATGTGAGTAAAATAAATCAGTCACAAGTCTAGTCTCCTGGTCTCAGCTTTTTAATTGTGTTTTGAGGTCAAATGAAAGACCAGTCTGTTTACTTAAGAATGAAGGTGTTTTATCCTTTGCTTTTTTAATAATTCCCAGTTGCAATTTTAAGTAGAGACTCTTCTCCACTGGTAAAAATGTTATGATCAGTAGAAATTACTGAAGCCTTGTATCACATCATTGATGCAAAGTCTCCCCCAAACAAGTGCAGCAGGTACAAGCTGTGGCATGTGCCATGTCAGGGTATCAGGATATTTTCAGGGCTGTATTCAGAAGCTTGAACAGTTCTTAATAAAACAACGTGTCAACTAAAACATTTTTCAGTTGTCTCGTAACTTTCCATTTCACTTCCTATTGCTCTTATTTTAACTTGCAGTAGCCACAACTCTTGAGGTCTCTTGGTCCAACAGGCAACTAGCCAACTAAAGGGCAAGATTTGCTTAGGCAGTAGGAGCGTGGTGCTTTTTACCATGCTTTTTAGGCCTTTAAGCTGCTTCTGGGTTGCACGGAGGGAGCCAGCATGTCAGSTATGTACTAGTGCAACAGATCCAATCTATCTTCTAACTTTTATAGATCGTATTTTACAGTCACGCGGTGATGTGGATATCTATATACTGTGAAAATCAAGGATTTTAGCTATTCCTATAATTCTGATGGTTTCAGAACTTGTATGATAATCTGCTAAAGGCAGACCTAGCTTTGTAATTTGTACATTATTTCTTGCTCAAAACTTGATGACAGGCAGGAGAAATCTTTTTATGATGCCAAGTTAATTGTAATATTTTATTACACAATCATAGCTCTTGTTTTGGTAATTAATGAAGTCATAATACTGTCCACTACTAGTTTAAGCTAGCATCAATCTCTCCTAAGGTTTCTGTAACTACAAATAGGATCTAAGATCTCCCTCTCTGTATTAAATGAATATACAGTACCCAACACCCATTGCCATTCATGTCCCTAATCTGATCAGTACTGTTTTACCTTGGCAATCTTGTCACCTTTTGCAGCCTCTGAATATCACAGACCCAAAGCCCCAAAGTTGCAGATGTAGTACAGATTTCCTTTTGCAATTAACTGTAGTTTAACAAAATGAAGAAGCAATCACCGAGCCTGGCCTATCAAATAAAAACTTTAAAACTTTCCATTCAGTCAGACTTCTGAAGATGAAGAAGCGGATCTGGGGCAGACATGAGAATCCTGGGCGTGAAGAGAGAAAAGTGAGAAGGAAATAGAACAGAATGGATTTTTTAGGAACAAGAAGAAAAAACTTTTCATCTCAGACACATAAGGTATTTGTATCACTAAAATAAGGGGTGAGCAGCCTTGCTTGAGCCCTGCCAAATGTACCTGGAGTTATTTGGGTCAAATACTCTATTCTTGGCAAAGTCAGTAGCTTAACTAGTAATGAGCATCAATTACAAATGGAAAGGTGTTGGCTATAGTTGTAGCTATTGAAGCAGTATAGCTGATAGGAAATACCTTATGAAAACATACAAGAATAAAGAACTGTGAGGTAGTATTCTTCTTGCCTGCAGCAGCTTGGAGCTCCAGTTCTTCATAAAGTAGGTGGTGGTGTCTTTAATATTTCTGAATCAGTTTTCTTTTGACTAATCAAGTTTTGAACTATGTAAACCTCTAGCATGCAAAACCCTCCATGTGGGAGTTCCCCAGCTGAACTACTCATTGTGTAGAAAGTTTTCTCCTTTTGTTTATTTTGACCAGCAACCTCATAATTCCATTGTGTGCTGTGTGAGTCTTTTCTGTGAAGAAATTATAAAAAAATCCTCTTTTCTTGCCACTGACAAATCTGTAGATCCCTGAAATATTCTTCCTCTGCCACTTCTTCAAAGAGGAGTCTTCCCTTGTCTGTAGATAAGTTCCATGTAGGAACATCCCATGGTTTTGGTCACCTTTGTCATCCTTGTCTGGATCTTTTCTGTTTCTACTGTCTCCCTTTTGAAGCATTCCATACATGAATGATACCTGGAATATTATAATGACTGGTATGTTCTGTTTTCTATTATATTCTTGTATCTCTCTTTTTTAATATATATCTAAGTTCGTTCTCAATTATTTTAAAGTCCTTTCCCAATTAGTGTCATTTGTAAATCTAATATGCATGTTCTCTATTAGATTCTACAGTCATAATGAAAATAGGTTCTGTCCAGGATATAATGCAAATAGCTTAAATAGAAATTGAACCAGCACACAAACCTCCCTCAGTGCAGGCTTCCATTTTAGCAGCAAACCTTTGATGGTTGTCTCCTCAGTGTGTTTTTCCAACTGCTTTTGTACCCTGCATTTAACTATCCTTAGACCATCTTTCCCTATCTTTCATATTAGAATGTTGTATATAACAAAATTTTTTCCCAAATCCATGTATAGGAAATGCTGTATTATCCCCTAGCCCCCAGGGGCTGTTACTTTGTTCTTGTATAGCCCTTCTTTTGGTACCTTAACCATAATGAAGGGAGGTAAGATAAGTTTTCTTAGCAGATTGGAAAAAATGCACAATAGTTTCCACTCCATTTTTCTTTTTAGCTCATCACAGCTATGGAAGCAGGAGTTAAAAGCAGCAGCCTGAGGTGGACCACAAGCGATCAGTGTAAATATTGTGAAACGGTTGCACAAGATGCTGCCCAGAATTTGGAAAAGCATTAAAGAACTTTTAGGTTTGTACACATATGTTTAATACTTGGAAAAAAAAAACTCAGAGCTTAGGGAGAAAGTCAATGACCTGGAGTCTGCTGCAGATTTGGGTACTGCATTAAGAACTGAATTGAGCACTGCTTGCATTTGTCGTTGCCCTCCCTTACTGCCAATTTGATTTAGTATATTATATACAGGAGGCAGCATGAAGATAAAAAGCAGTGCTAGCTGCAAGAGCAGTGCTATGCTGATGCTCCTCTGTGCCAATGTACATTCTCACTTCTTGAAGCTTCATAGGACAAAATATTACCCAAACCTGTCGTTTCTTCTGTACTGTTACGAGCAGGTAAGATTTGCAGAATGCCTTTATGTAAGTGAAGTTATTGTTGATTCCCTAAAATCTCTATTGTTGATTCCCTAAAAGGGGACATTTTATTCACATCTACCCACTAAGATGTAATTTAAGTGAAAAAAATGGAAAGATTCAATCTTCATTGATTTTTGCTTGTAGTCCAC